GGTTCCTCAGGGTGTCTGTCAAGATTCTGGAAGATCTCGCAGGGTTTCTACCCCCGGATCTCTCAGGACTTTTTCAGAATCCACGAAGGTTTTGCAAGATTCCACAGGTTCTTTCAGGATTTCAAAGGATTGCTCCGGATCTTTCACAATTTATCCGGAAACCTGTGGATCTCTCAAGATTCTTGAACCTTCCTGCAGATTTGTGGAACAATTACTCCGGATTCTTGAAGATTTCTCCGCATTCCTTAAGATTTCTGGGGATGTCTCACAGAGCCACCGAGGATCTTCCTGGGTTCCCCCGATTCGTGAAGATTTTCCGGGTCTTTGAGGGTCGCTACGAATATCTCAGGATTCTTGAGGCTCTCCCAGGATTTCCGTTCGAAGTTTCCCGAAAATCTTTCAGGATTCCTGAGGATGTTTTAGGATTGCCTTCGGTTCCTGGGAATGCGGGGGGATTGTTCCGAATCCTAAGGGTGTTTTAGGATTCCTCACAATATCTTAGAATTCCTAAGGATAGATGGGCATGTTTGACGATTTGAGAAACTTCTCCGGGTTCGTTCGGACTCCTGAAAGCCGTCGACGATGTTCAAAGGTTTGCTGCCGATTTCTGAAGATCTCTGGAAATTTCAAAGGATATGTGTAGAATTCATAATTCTGAAGATTCAGTTCTAGTAAGTGGTTGTAATTGGGACCAGTCTGGTTGAAATTCGCTTCGACAGGTTGGAATTGAGATTCGTTGTCTGGGATTCGTCCCGTTTCCTGGTTCCCCCCCTGAGTCCGCCCACCGTTCCTCCCAAGACCGGGACGTCCAGACCTCGCTTTTGGGCGAATGTCGGGGTTGCGGCCCGCAGGGGGTGTTCATTCTTCTCCCTTTCCTCCCTCTGCTCCCCCTCCCCCGCCTCGTCCTCTGCCTCGTCGTCGCCGCTGCCGTCATCGTTGTCGGCATCGTTGTCGGCGTCGTCGTCTCGGCTAGACAGACCTTCCTCCTCCTCCTCCTCCTCCTCCTCCTCCTCCTCCTCCTCCTCCTCCTCCTCCTCGTCGTCCTCTGCCTAAGGTGGTTCAACGTAGCTGAACTTCTTAACTTGACGGCTCAGCATGCTGATAGCTGTTCGTAATTTCGCAAAACATACGTTTCGCCATCATGGCCAGAGTCGAGTATCCCCAGACAGCCTTCTCGAGGCAAGGTCAAGGGGGCTCCTGATGAGAATGTTCGCACGTCCTCCTGCTCCTGGTCGGCCAGCGCATTCGACGTCGTCGTCGAGCTTTTTGTCAGCGTCGTCGTCCTCCTTCCCTCATTCATCCTGCGCATCCACGACATTATCCTTCTCACCTTCGCCCTCCCACAGTCCACATACTCCTTCTCCTCCTGGTTATCATCCTCTCTTCCTCCGGCTGATCCTCCTCGCCATCCTCCTCATTTGCAGCCTGGTCCTTCTCCTTTTCTCCCCCTCCTGTACTTCTTCATATCACCCCTCCTGACACCCGTCCTCATACGAATCATCCCCATCCCCATGGTGTTATTTCTTCTCCTCGTGTTCCTCCTCATCGTCCTCTACCTCGTCTTCGCGCTCCTCCTTCTCCGTTTCCTCCTCCTGTTCGTCGTTTTCGTCCTCCTCCTCCTCCTCCTCCTCCTCCTCCTCCTCCTCCTCCTCCTCCTCCTCCTCCTCCTCCTCCTCCTCCCCGTCTGAGTCAGGCTGCCCAGCTTGAGCCAGTGTTCTTGGCGGCGCGCCGCCTTGCCTGCCTGTTTTTGCAGCCCAGAAGATGCGTGGTAGTTTCGTTGTGGACCGCATGCTGTGCCGCCGTTGCCTCTGTTATCTCCTCCCTCCTCTCGGTCATCGCCTCCCTCTTCTCCTCCTCCTCAATTGCTGGCCTCGCCAAGTACCTCGGCATCTTGTTTGGTCCAGCGGCAACCCTTGAGACCCAGTAAGAGGCGGCAGCGTCGAAGCTGTGCTTTCGGACTCGCCTTGTTGAAGCAGCCCGATCGCCGTCGGAGGCCTCTTGCCGCACGTACAACTCCTCTATTATATCTGTTCTCTCGTGCCTCTGTCAGTTCTTTCCCCTCCACTCTTTTCTTCTCTTCTCTCCAAAGTGCCCCGTCTTGTTCATAAGCTGCTTGGGCTGCCTCCGAACACATTCAAACGGAGCGAGCTGCTGTCTTTGAATGCCTGGATCCCGGGTCCCGGCCCAGCGTCGATGGTTGTTCTTGCGTGTGTTTCGGCGTGGAGGTCTGCGGCCCACACATATGGCTCCAGGGTTCGGCCGATCGCTTGTGACCTCCAGGAATCTGCAGTATGGAGTGGGCCCCTGGTGAGGTACCCTAGCCAGGAATGGAGCCCTCCGTGTTGGCAGCGGCAGCGGAGCATTGCACAGTTCCTCGCTTCATCGTGTACGCTTCAGGCTGCGAGCCCGTGGTCTGGGGGTGGCTCGAGAAACGCTTCGAGCATCCCTCAGGCCCCGACGCCGACCCTCTGGGCCAGTGTAGGCCGCCTCCTCCTCATCGCAGTCCTGGACGGCGTGCCGCGCTCTGCGCTTCGCTCAGACCAGCCGCGCGATGCCGCGTCTGCCGGCACGGAGGGAGTCGCCGCCGCTGCGGCCGCCGCCCGCCGCCCGAGGCCCAAGCGTGCGCTCGCCCAGGCCCTCGCTCCTCCTCCATCTCCTCCTCCTCCTACTCCTCCTCCTCCTCCTCCTCCTCCGCCACCTCCTCCTCCTCCATCTCCTCCTCCTCCTCCTCCTCCTCCTCCTCCTTTATCTGCTCCTCCTCCTCCTCCTCCTCCTCCTCCTCCTCCTCCTCCTCCTCCTTCTCCTCTCACCGCTCACCTCATCTTCCCCGACGACCTCCACCTTCTCTTCCTTCGTAGATTGAGGGCCTGGCTCCCCGAGGTGCACCTTCCCCCTCCGGGGGATGTGGCCCATCGTTGGGCCTTGCTCCGTGGTGTGCCCTCCCTGTCCAAGCCCAGCTGGGCTTGGGCCCACATCAAGACTCTCGCAGGGGGGATGGGTCACCTCGGGCCGAATGCCCGTTCTGGGCCAGCGCCGCTGCCTGGGGTGCGAGGATGGTCTCGATCGGTGGCCTCGCTACATGGTCTGCCCACGTCTCCTCCACCTTCTCGCCCGTCCGAGGCTTTTCCTCCCCTCCTACCCTCTGGCCCGTCTCGGTCTCGGCCTCGATTCTGATTATGATTCGCAGGTCACCCGAGAGACCACTCATCGCCTAGTGGTGCTAGGTTTTCACTTTCACCACAAGCTCAAGGCAGAACACGAGGCCTCGCCCTCCCGTTGTTGCGACCTTGAAGCCCACCCGAGGCTCTTACGAGCAGCGAAGCTGGCCACTGGCGCCCGCTAATCCGAAGCACACGTTGCCCCCATGCTACGTGCGCTCTTCTTCCTCCTCCTCCTCCTCCTCCTCCTCCTCCTCCTCCTCCTCCTCCTCCTCTTGTATGTTTCGTACTCCTCGTGCTCCTTGTCCTCTCTTCCTATTATGTTTATCCTCGTTTTCCTCGATGTGCTCATTATCCTCGTTTATATCCTGTCTGTTCCTCCTTCCCCTCCTCCTCGCATTCCTCCTCGCCGTCCCCTCTCATTCTTCTCGTCCTCCCTGTCCGTCTCTTTCTTCTTCTTCGCCTTCCTCGTGTCTTCGCACTGTAGATGCTGTTTCCAGGCTGTGTCCTCAAGCTGGTAGCTTAGGCTTGTCACTGTCTCCCTTCTCCACTCTTCCTCGCTCCCCCTTTTCTCCTTCCCCGTCCTGCCGCCTCCCAGCTCGCCGCGCTCTCGCTGGAGGTATCTCCACACTCGCGTCTGCCGATCCCCCCCCGAGACGCCCCTGCAATGTCCAAAGGACTCGTGCTCGGACCAGGGGCACCCAGATTTTTTCCCCTGAGCACAATTCGACAACAGAGGTGTGATCAGATGGCTCGTCTGGATCTGACCTGCAGTCGGGGCGCTGAAGAAGGAACCCTTTTCGTTTGGGAGGGGCTCCGTGTTCCTTACCTGTTTCACAGTTTGCCAACTTCTCCTGAGGTTTTCCATGTAACATCGAAGTTCACTTATGGAAAAAAGGGGGCCTCGTTCCTTCTTTAGGGTTCCTTCGGTCAACGCCCCGGCCGTATCCTTCTTCTTGGAGCCCTGAACTTCAAAGATCTCTCAGGCGAAACTGGCCGGACCACTTCGCGCAGCATCTAAGAGCCCCGAATTGCGAGGACGTCTCCGGCGAGACAGGCCAGACCACCCTGCGTCCAGAGGCCAGAGTTGCGAGCCTCAGTGAGGCGAAAACGGGCTGGACCATCTCTCACGCGGCATCTCGAAGCCCAGAGTTGCGAGGAGGATGTCTCAGGGGAGAAACACCGGACCACTTCTCGCGCGGTGTCCCGTAGCCCAGACTTGCGAGGATGTCTCAGGCGGAGCGCGCCCGGAATGCCAGGATATCTGGCACGAAATTCGCCAGATCTCTCTGCGCACATCTTCTCAGAGCCCAGAGTTGCGAGACCGTCTAAGGCGACACGGGACGGACCACTTCTCGCGGGGCATCTCGAAACCCAGAGTTGCGAGGACGTCTCCGTTTCGCCTGATCGGACCGCCTCGCTCGCGGCACTTCGGAGCCCAGAGTTGCGAGGATGTCTCAACCTTCTCTGGCAGTTTGGGGGGCCTCTTGGGCCGTCTTGGGAGCCTTTTGGGCCGTATCCCGGCTCCCTTGGGGGCCTTTGGGGGGGCAGTCTTGGGCCTGTAGGGGTGGGCTCGTGAGCAGTTTTGACGTTGTCAGATGTCCGAAAAGGCGAGAACGCGCAAAGCGCGGAGGATACAGGAATTATGCGCTGTGCCTCTTGAGGCCCTCTTGGAGGTTCTCTTGGGGGTCCTCGCCAGGCCCTCTTGGGGCGGTGGGGGCCTCGTGGGCCGTCTCGAGGACATCCGGAGTGTTTTTGAGGCTCCTCTGGCGCGTGAGAGCCCTTCTTGAGCCATCTTAGGAGGCATCTTAGACATTTGGAACATCTTGGAGGCCACATGGAAAGTTCATTGGAGAGGAGATGCGTTGGCGATCTCGTGCCCTCACCCTTAAGCGGGATTCTGGGCCCCAGGGGCCCCAGGGAGAGGGAACCAGCAGGATGGGGGCATCCAGTCATCTCACACTTCTTCTCACGTCTGGCGAGCGGGGGTTTGGCAGATAGTCACTCTGTCTTCGCGCAGATTCACTACACGCAGGATGTGCGTTTCACATTCACTTTCAATGCATAACCCTCGCGCCTAATATGAGCACTGTGCTTGCACATGCTCTGTACACCACTGCCGGAGTGCATTTTGCACGCGCGAATGCATACCCCATTCACTTTTCCGTGGTCTTGTATCCTGTGCCGCATCCGTTGGCCTCTTCTGAGCATTCACTTCAGCCTCATGGCTCATGGTCCCCCGCACCTCTATCACATTCCACACGCACTCCCTACCGCCGCCTCTCTCAACTTCTCTGCCGATTCCCCATGAAGTTTCCCTTCAACTTCCCCTGGGATTCCTTGTTCCGTTCCGTCCAACTTCGCTTCATCGTTTGGGATGCAACTCCTGGGAGGTTCAACTCAGTATCGGCACTGACATATCCGTGGCCAGAAACAGGCCCAATCCTCCAGAAACCCGCTGAATCCCATTTGATCGGGCTCAACCCAGGGCCCAGGGCGGAGTCTGGGCCAATCCGGCTTCATGGTCCATCCGTCTGGTTTACTAGCTCTTGGTCATTCTTGCGAAGACCTCCCAGGAGTTGCCTCCTAAACTTCGCCCTCAACGCAACTATCCCCGTTTCGCGCTGGCGACAGCCGAAGAGCGCCGGAGACTGCCGAAGATCGCCGAAGACCGTGAGAAGACCGCCAAAGATTGCCGAAGACCGTCGGAGACGGCTCAAGGCCGATGGGCAGCCAGGGGTCTATGTTCGAATGTGTGGCCTTCCGTTCTCTCCAGGTTCGTGCCATTCGTTCCCAGGAGTGGCCTGCCAGGAGTTGGCTCCCGAGTTCCCCTAGATCCTCCTCCTCCTCCTCCTCCTCCTCCTGCTCCTCCTCCTCCTCCTCCCCCCTCATCCTCGTACTCCACCACCATCTTCTCCTCCCCCTTTCGTATCCCCCCCCCCTTGCCCTCACAGGGCCTTCCCCCCCCGCCTCCATAGGCCGAGGCGCGGACGCCCATCGTCATCGCCACCCGCGTCGAGCTCCCCCCCCCGCCGCCCGCGCCCTCGGCGCCGCCCCTCGGGGTCGACGGGCACCCCGCGCAGGAGCGGCCTCCCCTCCAGAGGGGTTCCGCCTCAGACCCAGAGATCCAACGTATCAAACAGATCTGAACGGAGGTTTTTCCCTACCTCGGCTCTGCCTAGAGGGTTCTTACTCTCTTAGCTTAAAGGGGCCGGGCAGTGCACCACGCCCCGGCGGTTCCCCCAGTCCCCGCCCCGCGGTTCCCCCAGTCCCCTGGGAGCTTTAGCTATAGCTTTAGCTTTAGCTTAGCTTTAGCTTAGCTTTAGTTTTGCTTTAGCTTAGCTTTAGCTTAGCTTTAGCTTAGCTTTAGCTTAGCTTTAGCTTAGCTTTAGCTTAGCTTTAATTTAGCTTTAGCTTAGCTTTAGCTTAGCCTTAGTTTAGTTTTATCTTAGCTTTAGCTCAGATTTAGCTTAGCTTTAGCTTAGCTCCAGCTTAGCTTTAGCTTAGCTGTAGCTCAGCTTTAGCTCAGCTTCAGCTTTGCTTCAGCTTAGCTTCAGCTTTGCTTCAGCTTAGCTTTAGCTTAGCTTTAGCTTAGCTTTAGCTTAGCTTTAGCTTAGCTTTAGCTTTAGCTTAGCTTTAGCTTAGCTTTAGCTTAGCTTTAGCTTAGCTTTAGCTTAGCCTTAGTTTAGGTTTATCTTAGCTTTAGCTTAGATTTACCTTAGCTTTAGCTTAGCTCCAGCTTAGCTTTAGCTTAGCTGTAGCTCAGCTTTAGCTCAGCTTCAGCTTTGCTTCAGCTTAGCTTCAGCTTTGCTTCAGCTTAGCTTTAGCTTAGCTTTAGCTTAGCTTTAGCTTAGCTTTAGCTTAGCTTTAGCTTGGCTTTAGCTTAGCTTTAGCTTAGCTTTAGCTTAGCTTAGCTTTAGCCTAGCTTCACTGTTACTACTAATGCTGCTTTCCTAGGGGCTCCAACTCCTAGGTAGGGTCGCACTGGGTTAATGTTCTTCCTGCCTCTAGAGGCCCTCGCTGGGCCCCGGGACCGTCAAACAAGTGCCTGTTTTTTTTGGATTCGGGCAAGTTTACTTGCATGGACGGGGGGTGGGGCTGAGTCTGAAGCAAGCCGAAAACAGTTCGACGTGCGGAAATCACGCAAGTCGAAAGGCACTTGCACGCTCGTGTTCGATTGAAGAGGGGCGAGGGGGGAGGGGGGGGGGGGGGGGGGGGGCGAACGCCATGCAAGTAAACTTGCCTGGATCTAAAGAAAAACATACTCAAAAGGGTCGGGATTGCCCGGGGCCCCGTATTGAAAGAATACGGCATCGGCTCCCTGGGGAGTCGGCTGGGCGCCTGAGGTGGCCCAGCACTGGTCAGGGGCAACGATCGGGGCGGGGGGGGGGACCAGGCTCCAAGGGGGACGCATGGACCCCCCATCGCCCATGCATCGCCGAGAGGGGCCCGACACTCCGCCCCGCTGAGGAACGTGCGGATTCGCTGTCGAGGGCCTGTGGCCGATCGATCGTTGGTGCATCGGCAATTCCAGGTCGAGGTTCCCCACCCGGAGCCAGCCCCCCCCCACCGTCGTTGCCCCTCAGGGAAAGGAGGCTCGAGGCTCTGGGTTCGGAAAGGTGTTTTTGTAGCCTTTTTCGGTCTCTCGGGGGGCGCCGTTCTCGGGCCCCGGGGCCGTCGGAAGCGGATCCGCGGGTGGGCAAGTGCACCACATGGACCCCCAGGAGGGGTCCGGGGACCGATCTTGAGCGGATTGTCCTTTTCGGAGGCGGGGGGGGGAGGTGAGAGGGGGCAGTCCTTCTCAGAAGGCGTCGAAGGCGTCGAGGCTTCTGAGAAGCCGTCGATATCTTCGGTGAAGCCTTAGAAGACGTATCACAAGGCGCAAGGGCTTCTGAGAATCCCCGCCGCTTTCTGAGACGGCCTGCCCCCTCTCACTTCCCCCCCGGCTCGCCGCCAGCCTCCATCATCCGCCCTCTTGACAGATTGCGAAGGCCTTACGGCCGGTGCCGCCGACCCTGGAGGGCGACCCATGCGTTCTCGTATGTGGCGGGGGGGGGCTCTTGGGGCTTCCTGGGGGCCTCTTGGGGGTCTCGTGGTGGCCTCTTGGGGGCATCTTGGGGCTTCCTGGGAGCCTCTGTCGCCGAGGGCTCGTCGGGCCCCCCGTCTGGGCACCCTGGCGGCGGCTCGGGCTGGTCGGGCGCGGCCCCGAAACAATAAAGAATCCCTACGTGCAGTACTTGCGGGGGGGTCGTCGTATCTGAGTGGCGCCCCCCCCCCGGGACCCCCCCGCTACCCCCCCCCCCTCCCGGCGGGGGAGGGATCAAAGGGAAGGGGCTTCCCTCCGACTCAAATACGACGTTGCTGAAGTTCATTTGGGCTGGCGCGCTTGAGCAGGGGCCCCTGCTGGGAAAGAGGACGGGAGTGGCGACGGGCCCACGGAAAGGGAGGCGCAAGGAAGGGGGACGACAGAGACGACGACCAACGAACAACGGGGATGACGTCTCGAACGGAAAAGCCCCTCACACACGCCGACAGGGTCGGCGGATTTTCTCGGGGACAAGCAATGCAACTGACAGAGTCGATGTGTGCGTTTTCGATACCTCGCTTTTTCGTAGCTTCTGGCCTCCGTGAGCCGTTTTGGGGCCCCAGGGCCGCAGAAACGAACACGGGATGCGACATTAGCTCCAGGTAAGTTCCCCAGGCAATTTTTCTGACACGATCTGCACACGTTGCATTACTGTTCCAGGGGTGTGTAGGATTGGCAACACTTTCCCTCGAGGCTGGCGACCTCCTGCCAACTCACCACACTGTTAGATGTTCGTCCTGGGGACCTTCCTGAGATCCAACTGACGGATCGGTTCGAATCCAGTTCGACTCTAGAGGGACTCAAGTCGAAAGGTTCCCAGAACGAGCAGCCAAACCCTGCCACCTCGCCATCCTGGACCTCCGACGTCGTGTGGCAGCCAAATTGTTCTGCCGTTCTCGATGTCTGGAGGCGGTCTTCGGGCTCCCTGGGACGTTCGAAATGATGCTCCAGGCCCGGGTCCCGAACAACAATTCGTCGGAGGTCTGGGATCGCCCCCCCCCCCCCTCCCCCCTGCAGTAGGCAGCACGCCAAGTAAGGAACCAGCCTGCCAGCAGGTGCCCCACAAAAGTGCCCCCCCCCCCTTGTGGCCCCGGGGGTCCTCAGAAGCTATGGGGACACCTCCAGAATTCGAAAGATGTACGACAAGCGCCGTGGCTGATGGCATTGCCGCGGCGGCGGCCTAGGGGGGCGCGAGGCTGCCGAGGCAGCTGCCAGGGCTGGGCGGGGAAGCGCGCCCCGGCTGCGCCGAGGCGCTGGCGGCAAGCGCCGGCGCCGGCCGCTCCCGCGCGCCTGCTCTGCTTGCCTTTGCGGGTGTTTCTCCTCCTTCCCCTCTCCCGCCTTTTCTGCTCTCTCCCCCTTTTCCTTAGCCACGGGGCGACTTCTCTGCGCTGGTAAAGAAAAGTGCCCCGCATCAAGATTTCTGATCGTGTGTGGCTGCTGGATCCAGGTTTTGCAGACATCTCTGGCCCTCTGGCGACTTCGGGGGACCGCCTGGTGACCTCGGGGCCATGGGACGTCGCGCAGCAGACGCAGACCTCTGGTGCCCCCTCTCAAGCGAGAGACGGAAAGCCGACATTCGATACCGATGGCTCCGCATCGGCGGCGAAGCGTCGTGCCTCGACGGCCAGGTTTCGGGTGGAGTCGGGAGAGGTTTATTAGCCTTGCCTTTGGGTGCAGGCATTTCGTTTCGATTCCTGATTATCCTCCTCTTGTTCTCCGCCTCCTCCCCCTCCTCATCCTTCTTCTCCTCCTTCTCCTCGGATCCCGCCCTCGATCCGACAGGTTCCCGAGGGATTGCTCGGCGGTGCTCCCTGAGGTCCTTCCCTCAGGTTGCGGGGCGCCCCGGCGCTCCGACGGCATGGCTGCCCCTGCTGAGGCACGCGGCGGCGCCGCCGCGACGGCGGAGAGGCGCTCCCGGGCCCAGCGCCATCGCGCACGCCTGCGACAACGGCTCTTCCGCGCTGGCGCGGCTGCGGGCCTCCCGCCAGGCCTACCAGAGCCGCGCGACCAGGAGGGCACAGACGGGGACGCGATCATTGGGGTGACGGAGTACGAGGGCCGCATGAAGGAGGGCCAGAACGACATCTACGACATCAAGGACGAAAGTATCACTGACGTGCCCCCGTCGCCCTCCTTGGAGACCCTGCGCATGAAAGGGCTGGAGGCTCTGTGCACGACCGACCCCATCGACGAGCATTCCGTACAGCAGCTCCAGGAGTTCGACGGGAAGCAGGTGAAGTCCACGACCATAGAGGACCTCGACCTCGAGGACGGGGACGCGAATAAGCAGCGGGAAGAGCTTCCGACAACGTGTACTTCGCCACCACCTCCAGCGAGCGCTTGTGCCGCTCCACCCTCAACATGCGCAGAACAGCACAACAAGAACAAGCCGCTGTGGATACGCAAGCCCGAGGACGTGACCCACGAGGAGTACGCCTCCTTCTATAAGTCCCTGTCCAACGACTGGGAGGACCACCTTGCCGTGAAACTCTTCAGCATCGAGGGCCAGTTCGAGTTCCGCGCGCTGCTCTTCGTTCCTCGCCGAGCCCCTTTCCGACCTCTTTAAGTCCAACAAGAAGCGCAACAATATCAAGCTCTACGTCCAGCGCGTCTTCATCATGAACGACTGCGACGAGCTCATGCCCGAGTGGCTCCACTTCGTTGAGGGCGCGGTGGGCTCCGAGGACCTGCCGCCGAACATCTCCCGTGAGACGCTACAGCAGAACAAGATTTTGCGGGTGATCAAGCAGAACATCGCCAAGATGTGTCTGGACATGTTCGCGGATATCGCAGAGCAGAAGGATGACTACCAGAAGCTTTATGAGCAGTTCGGCAAGTACCTCAAGCTGGGCAATCAGGAGGCTGAGGATTTGACCAACCGCACCAAAGCCGCGGAGCTGATGCGCTACCACACGTCGAAATCTGGGGGCCAGATGATTGGCTTCAAGGAGTACGTGGACCGCATGAAGGCAGGCCAGACCGACATCTACTACATCACGGCCGAGAGTATCGCCGCTGCGTCCTCGTCGCCCTCCCTGGAGGCTCTGCGCACGAAAGGGCTGGAGGTTCTGTGCATGACCGACCCCATCGACGAGTACTTCGTGCAACAGCTCAAGGAGTTCGACGGGAAGAAGCTCAAGCCCGCGACCACGGAGGACCTCGACCGCGAAGACGAGGACGAGAATCAGGAGCTGGAAGAGCTGAAGACGGAGTTCGAGCCGCTCGCCGCGCCCAGCGACCTCGCCGATGCCTTCGTCCAGGAGTGCGAAAACGCGATCCTCGACCTCCCGATGAGTACTACGATCCCCGCGAGTGAAGAGATCGTGGACGCGGCCCTCGAGCGCTGGGAGGCCAATTCCGAGACCCACTCCTTCTGGCAGTCCCCCGACGCGTTCTGGGCCATCAAAGCGATGGTGGAGCAGACCCTCCAGCTGCTCGACAGTGCCGCCGAGGACCGCTCTCGACCTCGGCGACGTCAGGCTTGCGAAGGCTAGCCACGACCGCCCGTGCCTCTGGCCCGCCCGCCTCGGCCCCGCCCTGCCGCTTCGCTGCAGCGTCGCCGAGTGCGCCCCAGAAGCATCGTTGAGAGCGATAGGACCGGATGGGTCCTGCGACGGGCTGCCAGGCGCTGTACACGTTCTTTGCCAGTCAGGCTTGGCACACGGCCCCACTCGTCGAGTAAAACAATGAAGGGGCTCTTGTCATCCTCTTGTTCTCCTCCTCATCATCATCATCCTTTTTCTTCTCCTCCTTGTCCTCCTCCGCCTCCTCCTCCTCCTCCTCCTCCTCCTTTGTCCTCCGTGATATTGGAGGGGCGGGGTCGGGGGCGGGCGGGGCGGGGCTCTTCCTGTCCTCCCCATCCTCTCCGTTGCGCCGCCCACTCTCTGCAGTTGTCGTTGCCCTAGCCCGCTGCCCTTGCGTGCGCCTGACTTGCCGCACCCTCCGCGCCCGCCTCTGCCCCGCTTCGCCTGCGCTCGCAGCTGCCTGTGCCTTTGGCGGCGTCGGGGGCGCGAACCAGGCGTAGCGTTTCAAGGGGTCGTGGTTTGGGCGGAGTGGGGGCGGCGTCATTTACGAGGGATCGTTGCCCCAAGGGCGCGAATCCGATGTATGTTGCAGGGGGTCGTGGCATCGCGTGCCGCGAGTCTGGTATGATTCACGAGGGGTCGCACCCCCGGGGTCGCAAAGGTGCAGTCGTTTATCAAAATGCAAGCTCGACAACAAAATGATGGTACCACCCTCAGGGGCAGACGTTTAAAATAATGTCTCGAGCGAAACTGTGGCGTCGCAGGTCTTTGGAACAGTCGCGCGAGGCACCCCAGGATTGCCCGGATTTCCGGGATGTGGTCCTTTCTCACACATGGATTATTCTTCGTGGTATCGGTATACAGAGAGAGAGAGAGAGAGAAAGAAAGAAAGAAAGACACAGAGAGAGAGAGAGGGGATCCACCACCAACAACAACAACCAACACTTAACATCGCTAGGGGGCCTGAGGACAATACAGTGTGTGCCTTGAGGCACGGTGGCGGATATACGCACATGCGTCTATATGCAATCCGTAGGCAATTTGGCTCAAGGGAACTGGAGGCAACTGTCAGACTACATCGGCTTACCAGCTTACGTGCCAGTCGCACGACTACTTGTCGCTGCGCAGTTCGCTTCGACGGCGTAATGGCGCGCGGGGGCGCTCGCTTCGGGGAGTTGCCAATCCGACGACGAGCGAAAGCGCGACCCACCCGCGCAGTGGCATTTTGTTGGCACATGCGGTGGCGGTGGCGGCTTAGCACCGTGAGAGTGGTCGTGCAAGGGATTGCGGGCACGAGAACTTGAGCAGATTCAGCCTGCGCAGTGTGCGGCATGCGCTGCACTTGGGCCGAGGTAGGTTGCAGCTCTGGCGCCCCGGGCCTGTTCCGCCCCCCCCCCTGGCCAGGCCACCAGCAGCACGCCCTCCCAGAACAAGATCTCGCAACAGCTTGTGGATATCGCGGAGAAGCTCACACAGGCCACCAATGGATCGATCCCGAAGTCGACCGAGTTCGTGGAGGTGCCAATTACCTCTGGCAGCCATGGCCTGCGCCAAGGAGCAGTTCAGCAGCTCCATCAAGCAGCCGCCCTGCCCTGAAGTGGGCACCGTGTCAACTCGTTTTCGCCTGCATGAGTCGGGGCGTCGCGCGCGCTGCCGTAGAGCGCTCGCCGAGACGCTGGGAGATGGCCGAGGGGAGCGCTCCCCCCTGGCCCCGGCAACGCAGTCCGCAGCTGCCGAGGAGCTCACGAAGCTCTGCCTCGAGCGCAAATCTATGGAGGGCCAGATCTGCCGAGCCGAGCCACGGCGCCGCCTCCCGCTGCCGATCCAGGCCCGCAGAAGTTCCTCTGACGACCCTGTCAAAACAGCTGGAACCCATCATGAAGGAAATTTGTGTCCGATCCCGCTGCTGCCAAGTTACGGTCCCGCTTATGACTGAGAGTCCTCCCCCCGAAAAACGGGCCCAGCGTTTCTTAACCAACTTGCTGGAAAGATGGTTCAGTTTCTTAAGTGGATTGATAGCCTTGGGTCCTACGAATGAATAGCGTACGTTCCTGGCTCCGGAAGCTGGCCCAGCGTTTCCCTCAGAAATTACTCAACAGCGAAGACTGATAGGTTTCTAGTGGTGTCAAAAGAGAGCAGCACATTATTCCACAGGGGGGTCTGGGCAGCCGTTGGGGAGCCGTTGGGGGGCCGTTGGGGAGCCGTTGGGGATTGCCGGGGAACTTCGTTTTTCGCAAACAGTCACACACTTCGTGCTTTTCGACTTCCCAGAACTCCATTCTTCGACTTCCCAGAATTCCATTCCCGGGCCACATTCTGAATGCCCGGGGCCAACTGTAGACCACTTCGTGGTCTTCGAGTTCCCAGAACTCCATTCCCGGGCCACATTTTGGATGCCCGGGGCCAACTGTAGGCCACTTCGTGGTCTTCGAGTTCCCAGAACTCCATTCCCGGGCCACATTTTGGATGCCCGGAGCCAACTGTAGGCCACTTCGTGCTCTTGGACTTCCCAGAACTCCATTCCTGGGTATGATTTTGAATGCCCGGAGCAAACTGTAGGCCACTTCGTGTTCTTCGAGTTCCCAGAATTCCATTCCCTGGCCACATTTTGAATGCTGAGGCAGGCTGATGCTGAGGCTGAGGCAGGCTGAGGCAGGCTGAGGCTGAGGCCGAAGCTGAAGGCAGACTCAGGCTGAGGCTGATGCAGGCTGAGGCTGAGGCTGAAGCAGGCTGAGGCTGATGCAGGCTGAGGCTGAGGCAGGCTGAGGCTGAGGCTGAGGCTGATGCAGGCTGAGGCTGAGGCAGGCTGAGACTGAAGCCGAGGCTGAAGGCAGATTGAGGCTGAGGCTGAAGCAGGCCGAGGCTGAGGCTGAGGCTGAGGCAGGCTGAGGCTGAGGCTGAGGCAGGCTGATGCTGAGGCAGGCTGAGGCTGAGGCTGATGCAGGCTGAGGCTGAGGCAGGCTGAGGCTGAGGCCGAGGCTGAAGGCAGACTGAGGCTGAGGCTGAAGCAGGCTGAGGCTGAGGCAGGCTGAGGCTGAGGCTGAGGCTGAGGCTGAGGCTGAGGCTGAGGCTGAGGCAGGCTGAGGCTGAGGCTGATGCAGGCTGAGGCAGAGGCAGGCTGAGACTGAAGCCGAGGCTGAAGGCAGATTGAGGCTGAGGCTGAGGCAGAGGCAGGCTGAGGCTGAGGCTGAGGCAGGCTGATGCTGAGGCAGGCTGAGGCTGAGGCTGAGGCTGATGCAGGCTGAGGCTGAGGCAGGCTGAGGCTGAGGCCGAGGCTGAAGGCAGACTGAGGCTGAGGCTGAAGCAGGCTGAGGCTGAGGCTGAGGCAGGCTGAGGCTGAGGCTGAGGCAGGCTGATGCTGAGGCAGGCTGAGGCTGAGGCTGAGGCTGATGCAGGCTGAGGCTGAGGCAGGCTGAGGCTGAGGCCGAGGCTGAAGGCAGACTGAGGCTGAGGCTGAAGCAGGCTGAGGCTGAGGCTGAGGCAGGCTGAGGCTGAGGCTGAGGCAGGCTGATGCTGAGGCAGGCTGAGGCTGAGGCTGAGGCTGATGCAGGCTGAGGCTGAGGCAGGCTGAGGCTGAGGCCGAGGCTGAAGGCAGACTGAGGCTGAGGCTGAAGCAGGCTGAGGCTGAGGCTGAGGCAGGCTGAGGCTGAGGCTGAGGCTGAGGCTGAGGCTGAGGCAGGCTGAGGCTGAGGCAGGCTGAGGCTGAGGCCGAGGCTGAAGGCAGACTGAGGCTGAGGCTGAAGCAGGCTGAGGCTGAGGCTGAGGCAGGCTGAGGCTGAGGCTGAGGCAGGCTGATGCTGAGGCAGGCTGAGGCTGAGGCTGAGGCTGATGCAGGCTGAGGCTGAGGCAGGCTGAGGCTGAGGCCGAGGCTGAAGGCAGACTGATGCTGAGGCTGAAGCAGGCTGAGGCTGAGGCTGAGGCTGAGGCTGAGGCTGAGGCAGGCTGAGGCTGAGGCTGATGCAGGCTGAGGCTGAGGCAGGCCGAGGCTGAGGCCGAGGCTGAAGGCAGACTGAGGCTGAGGCTGAAGCAGGCTGAGGCTGAGGCTGAGGCTGAGGCTGAGGCTGAGGCTGAGGCTGAGGCTGAGGCTGAGGCTGAGGGCTGAGGCTGAGGCTGAGGCTGAGGCTGAGGCTGAGCAGGCTGAGGCTGAGGCTGAGGCTGAGGCCGAGGCTGAAGGCAGACTGAGGCTGAGGCAGCAGGCTGAGGCTGAGGCTGAGGCAGGCTGAGGCTGAGGCTGAGGCTGAGGCTGATGCAGGCCACTGCGACTGTCATCGCGAATGCGACTACGACTGCGAGAACAGCAGAACTCTACAACTGGATTCTCATCTGAATCTTAAGGGGGATGCTTCCAGATATGCTCCTACACATCGCTGTTAGGTTGCTTTGCCGGGATAATTCTTTATGCTTCGCGTGTCCCCACCAGCCCATCTCACAGCAGCAACTCTCGCGAAGCATGCCGACAGCCGTGTTTTTCAAGCGTGTGTCCGCTTGGCCCCGCATATCTCCCCTGTTCCTCCTTCCCCCCGCCTCCTTGTACATCCTCCTTGTGGGGTGGGCGGGAGAAGGACGAGGCGGAGGAGGAGGGAGAGAAAGCGCTCCTCGTGGTCTGAGTCGTTTGGGGATTCTCGTCCTGGTGTGAGTCGTTCGGGCCCTTTTTCCTGGTGTGACTCGTTCGGGCTCCTCGTGGTGTGAGTCGTTCGGGCTCTTCGTCGTGGTGTGAGTCGTTCGGGCTCCTCGTGGTGTGAGTCGTTCGGGCGCCTCGTCCTGGTGTGAGTCGTTCGGGCCCCTCCTCATGGTGTGAGTCGTTCGGGCTCTTCGTGGTGCGAGTCGTTCGGGCCCCTCGTCCTGGTGTGAGTCGTTCGGGCTCCTCGTGGGGCCTCTTGGGGGCCTCTTGGAGGCTCTCGGGGCCTCTTCGGGGCCTCTTCGGGGCCTCTTGGGGGCCTCTTGGGGGCCTCTTGGGGGCCTCTCGGGGCCTCTTGGGGGCCTCTTTGGGGCCCCTTGGAGGCCTCTTGGGAGCCTCCTGGGGGCCTCTTGGGGCCAGCTTGGGGCCTCTTGCGACCTCCTCAGAAGCGTAAATGACCGCTGCTCCCTGAGAAGGACAAAATGAGCCCAAAACCTTCGTAACATCAATGGTTTTGCTATGAAGGAAGAGGAGCGCGGCCCCCTCAGGAGGCCAAAATGGGGCCAAAACCCTAGTAAAATCAATGCTGTTTGCTTCCAAGACGGTCTGAGGCGCCAAACGGTCCCCCCCCCCTGGGGGCCAGAATCCTCGTGAGGGTCGTAGTTTTTTGGCCCTCCAAGGAGTCGAAAAAGACCCCCTTGATTGCACTCGGCCCGCCCTCTCCAGGCCCAGGGGGAGGGGGTAGGGGGAGGGGTAAACCCCTCCCCGAAGGGGAAGTAGGGGGTTAGGGGGTTGAGAACAGAGAGAGCTCTCTAAACCACTCACGCCCAAAGGGCCGGTGGGACTTTTGAAAAGCTGGCCCAGCTTTTTCAAATCATAATGTTCTTAATCCTACGTTTGATTGCAATGGGGTCGGAGGCGGGCTCGGGTGCGATCGCTGGCCAAGAAGGTAGACCATGCGCCAGGCGCGGCGAAACAATATGGCAAGGAACCTGCCATCCTGGGCGTTCTCCTGGAGTTCGGCCTAAGGCCCCCCCCCTCGCTTGACGACGACAGCTTTGGCAGTTCTGTTTGCAACGTGATCTCCCTGTTCCTCGGGCCCTTCTGGGATGGCGTTTGGGTCATCGCGAGCTCTTCCTTTGAAAATGTTGAGAAGGGTACCCCCCCTGAGTAGACGCCTGGGGTTCGCAGTGGGCCACCTTATCTGGCGTCGCGGTTGCGAGGGCTGCGGCCTCTGCGGCCTCGAGTTCCTGCGGGGCCTGATTGCGTTGGGCTCACCCTGACCCTTCGAGATATCGCCAGATGTTGATTTCCTGGATGCGTATCTGGACTGGGTCGGCGGCCTTGCCGTCGTCGTCGCCGTCGTTATGGCTGGTGATGGCCTGCGCGTCAAATGGGCGTTCGAAATATGGGTTGGTTGGGCAGGCGCGCGACTATAATTGAAGGCGGGACCACATTGCCTGCAGTGCTTGTGCGCGAGGTCTCTGCGCCACCTTCTCCGCGCGAAGGCGTCGAACATATTGCGTGCGCGGTCTTTGCCCACGCTACGCTGCGACGCGTTCTTCGGTCGCATCCAGACTTGTGCTGCTGGTGCTGCTGGAGCTTCGTCTCTAAATGCAAGTGGTTATACCGCCCTCCCCCCCGGGGTTAAATATGCACGCTTTCGCGTTACAATTTGCGCATGTTTCTGACCCAATGTCCATCCTACCTGCGAACTCATATCATTCCCAGCCAAACCGGCATCCCCCCCCCCGCCCCCCGCCATGTTTTGCAAAACGTTCTATGCGCGCGCATTCGTTTATCAAAATTCAGAGGTGCTCAATAATCCTTTGCAACAAATGGGGCGAAGTGCGCACGCGCGCGTCGTCGCGCGCGCATGCCGGAATCTTTGTCAAACCGTTCTGGTTTCGGAAGGATTTCAAAATCGAGTGTCTAAAAAACATAAAACCATCGGGTTTCGCAACGAGGATGTTCAAGAAAGCATGCACGCGCGCTCTTGCGGCTTCTTAAGCCAAATCGAATATATACATATATATATACACACATATGTGTATATATATATATATATGAACAGATGTAGAACATGCGACCAAACGGGCTTCGCGCGCGCATGTCGAAATCGTTCGAACGCCCTTGCTCGCGCGCCGTCGCGGAAACCCTTTGCAAAACAAGAGGTGAAGTGCGCGCGCGCGTCGTCGCGCGCGCGTGCCGGAATCATTCAAAAACTTTCGATATCGGAAGGGTTTCAAAGCCGCGCGCCCACAACACAAACGAAAACACATGGTTTTGCAACACGGATGTTCAACACAAGCGTGCGCGTGCGTTGTTGCGAACTCTTAAGAAAACCGTGCGTGGCTTTCAACAGTCATCAGAACATGCTACCAAACAAATTTCACGCGCGCGCGTATCAACATCGCTCCAACGCCCTTGCGCGCGTGCCGTCGCGAAAATCATCAGCAACAGATGAGACGATGTGCACGTGCGCGCGTCGTCGCGCGCGCATGCCGGAACCCTTAAAACTTTCGATTCTGGAAGGATTGCACAACCGAGTGCCCAAACAAACATGCAAAAAAACATGGTTTCGCAACGTGGATGTTCAACAAATGCATGCCCGCGCGCTCTTGCGAGTTCTTGAAAAACCATTCGTTTTTGTCGACAGTTATCGTTATATGCTACCAAACGGGCTTGGCGCGTGCTGGGGTGGTACGATCCGTGTCACTTAATACCATGCGAGCCACTGTTTCGCGTCTGCCGCGCGCGCATGTTGAATTCCTCTCCAAACTTTCGTCACCGACGCGAAGACGCCGTTATCGTCGCCGGCGTGATAAGCATTGGCGCCGTCACTGGCCGTGCCGTCGGCGCTGTCAGCATCGTCGCCAACATCGCTACTACTATCATCATCATCCTCATCATCATCATCATCAAAATCATCATCATCAATATCATCAATGTCATCATCATCATCATCATCATCATCATCATCATCATCATCATCATCATCATCATCATCGTATCTACAATTGTCGACGTTGCCATGATACCGCGCCCGCCCAAGTCGCCGACTCGCATTCAAGTGGCCGCTGGGATGTGCCGAGCGATCAGCACCACCGCGGCCGCGTCGGTCGCACCAAACTACTACCTGGCCGCTGCGCGCGCGTGCGTCGGGTGGCGCGGCCGCAGAGATGCACCAGCCAGCACCGAGCATACACCTTAATCGCAACTGCATGATGTTTGCAAACCAAGTTGCGGGTGAGTGGGTGGGATGCTTGCGCGAGCAGTGGAGTGGACAATTCACTACGAACAAAAATCATCCATACGTAGCACCCCGCAGACGCGGATAAGAATGAGGGGGCGGTTGGGACGTCGGCAGTGTGCGAAACTCCGGAGAAGCCCGCCGCAGGCGTCAAAAATTCACAAATGATACAACGAGCCCGCCGCAGGCGCCGATTTTTCGTTAAACCAATCTGGGTAGGTCGCGGGTGGGTCGCTATTGGGTCGCGGGCATAGAGGGCAGAAGGTCCACCCCATAATGGTCACCCCGACAAGCGAAGCCGTTCAGTAAACGCACACAAGGAATGAATCGAACAGGGCATGGCTGTTTAGGCAACGCCCAGGGCCTTTCAGTAAACGTCAATTGTCGGGTATGGGTGTTTTTTCTTCCCTTGAGGGTGGGTCGCGGGGTGGGTCGCGGGTGGGTCGCGGGGTGGGTCGCGTGTGGGTCGCGGATGGGTCTCGGGGTGGGTCGCCGGGTGGGTCGCGGGTGGGACGACGACAAACAACAACACCAACAACATCAATAACACCAACAGCATCAACAACAACACCAACAACAACAATCATTCTAAGACTGTTCGCTCTTACTTTCCCGTGTGTAGTGCAAAGTGAGTCCCCCCACACCCTCGATACCTGCCCTTTTGGTATTCGATCACACCCCGTTTGGGGGGATTGTTTCTCTTTGCGGGGGGCGGCGGGCTTAGACAGGCGGGCAAACTTGAACGGGCGGACAATCTTTCGTGGGCGTACATGTGCCCGCCATTGGATTTGGTGTGGGCCTTGCAAAAAGAGGAGGGGGAAAACGAGGGAGAGTGGGAGGAAGGGAGGGGGAGGGACGACGGAAGAGGGAAAACGCCAGGAGAGAAGGAGCGAAGACGGGGGCGGTTGATTAGAGGCCGAGAGAGAGGGAGAGAGAGAGAGAGAGAGAGCGCGAGAGAGCGAAAGAGAAAACTACATATAAGAGAGGTAGAGAACGAAAGGGAAAGAGAGAGAGAGAGAGAGAAAAAAAATAAAGAAATAACATAAGGGGAAAGAGAGTGAAACAGAGAGAGAGAGAGAGAGAGAGAGAAAGAAAAAAAAGAGGGAGGGAGGAGGCAGGAGAGCGGAGGGAGAAGGGAGGAGGGAGAGGAGGGAGAGGAGATAGGGCATAAGGATGAGGGGAGAGGAGGGAGAGAGAAGTGAGGAGAGGAGGGAGGAGGGAGGAGGGAGAGGGAGGCCCTCCGCCAGCGCGGCTGCGGGCCTCCCGCCAGGCCTACCAGAGCCGCGCGACCAGGAGGGCACAGACGGGGACGCGATCATTGGGGTGACGGAGTACGAGGGCCGCATGAAGGAGGGCCAGAACGACATCTACGACATCAAGGACGAAAGTATCACTGACGTGCCCCCGTCGCCCTCCTTGGAGACCCTGCGCATGAAAGGGCTGGAGGCTCTGTGCACGACCGACCCCATCGACGAGCATTCCGTACAGCAGCTCCAGGAGTTCGACGGGAAGCAGGTGAAGTCCACGACCATAGAGGACCTCGACCTCGAGGACGGGGACGCGAATAAGCAGCGGGAAGAGCTTCCGACAACGTGTATTTCGCCACCACCTCCAGCGAGCGCTTGTGCCGCTCCACCCTCAACATGCGCAGCACAGCACAACAAGAACAAGCCGCTGTGGATACGCAAGCCCGAGGACGTGACCCACGAGGAGTACGCCTCCTTCTATAAGTCCCTGTCCAACGACTGGGAGGACCACCTTGCCGTGCGAGGGCCAGTTCGAGTTCCGCGCGCTGCTCTTCGTTCCTCGCCGAGCCCCTTTCCGACCTCTTTAAGTCCAACAAGAAGCGCAACAATATCAAGCTCTACGTCCAGCACGTCTTCATCATGAACGACTGCGACGAGCTCATGCCCGAGTGGCTCCACTTCGTTGAGGGCGCGGTGGGCTCCGAGGACCTGCCGCCGAACATCTCCCGTGAGACGCTACAGCAGAACAAGATTTTGCGGGTGATCAAGCAGAACATCGCCAAGATGTGTCTGGACATGTTCGCGGATATCGCAGAGCAGAAGGATGACTACCAGAAGCTTTATGAGCAGTTTGGCAAGTACCTCGAGCTGGGCAATCAGGAGGCTGAGGATTTGACCAACCGCACCAAAGCCGCGGAGCTGATGCGCTACCACACGTCGAAATCTGGGGGCCAGATGATTGGCTTCAAGGAGTACGTGGACCGCATGAAGGCAGGCCAGACCGACATCTACTACATCACGGCCGAGAGTATCGCCGCTGCGTCCTCGTCGCCCTCCCTGGAGGCTCTGCGCACGAAAGGGCGGGAGGTTCTGTGCATGACCGACCCCATCGACGAGTACTTCGTGCAACAGCTCAAGGAGTTCGACGGGAAGAAGCTCAAGCCCGCGACCACGGAGGACCTCGACCGCGAAGACGAGGACGAGAATCAGGAGCTGGAAGAGCTGAAGACGGAGTTCGAGCCGCTCGCCGCGCCCAGCGACCTCGCCGATGCTTTCGTCCAGGAGTGCGAAAACGCGATCCTCGACCTCCCGATGAGTACTACGATCCCCGCGAGTGAAGAGATCGTGGACGCGGCCCTCGAGCGCTGGGAGGCCAATACCGAGACCCACTCCTTCTGGCAGTCCCCCGACGCGTTCTGGGCCATCAAAGCGATGGTGGAGCAGACCCTCCAGCTGCTCGACAGTGCCGCCGAGGACCGCTCTCGACCTCGGCGACGTCAGGCTTGCGAAGGCTAGCCACGACCGCCCGTGCCTCTGGCCCGCCCGCCTCGGCCCCGCCCTGCCGCTTCGCTGCAGCGTCGCCGAGTGCGCCCCAGAAGCATCGTTGAGAGCGATAGGACCGGAGGGGTCCTGCGACGGGCTGCCAGACGCTGTACACGTTCTTTGCCAGTCAGGCTTGGCACACGGCCCCACTCGTCGAGTAAAACAATGAAGGGGCTCTTGTCATCCTCTTGTTCTCCTCCTCATCATCATCATCCTTTTTCTTCTCCTCCTTGTCCTCCTCCGCCCCCTCCTCCTCCTCCTTTGTCCTCCGTGATATTGGAGGGACGGAGTCGGGGGCGGGCGGGGCGGGGCTCTTCCTGTCCTCCCCATCCTCTCCGTTGCGCCGCCCACTCTCTGCAGTTGTCGTTGCCCTAGCCCGCTGCCCTTGCGTGCGCCTGACTTGCCGCGCCCTCCGCGCCCGCCTCTGCCCCGCTTCGCCTGCGCTCGCAGCTGCCTGTGCCTTTGGCGGCGTCGGGGGCGCGAACCAGGCGTAGCGTTTCAAGGGGTCGTGGTTTGGGCGGAGTGGGGGCGGCGTCATTTACGAGGGATCGTTGCCCCGAGGGCGCGAATCCGATGTACGTTGCAGGGGGTCGTGGCATCGCGTGCCGCGAGTCTGGTATGATTCACGAGGGGTCGCGCCCCCGGGGTCGCAAAGGTGCAGTCGTTTATCAGAATGCAAGCTCGACAACAAAATGATGGTACCACCCTCAGGGGCAGACGTTTAAAATAATGTCTCGAGCGAAACTGTGGCGACGCAGGTCTTTGGAACAGTCGCGCGAGGCACCCCAGGATTGCCCGGATTTCCGGGATGTGGTCCTTTCTCACACATGGATTATTATTCGTGGTATCGGTATACAGAGAGAGAGAGAGAGAGAGAGAGAGAGAGAGAGAAAAAAAAAGAAAGAAAGAAAGACACAGAGAGAGAGGGGATCCACCACCAACAACAACAACCAACACTTAACATCGCTAGGGGGCCTGAGGACAATACAGTGTGTGCCTTGAGGCACGGTGGCGGATATACGTACATGCGTCTATATGCAATCCGTAGGCAATTTGGCTCAAGGGAACTGGAGGCAACTGTCAGACTACATCGGCTTACCAGCTTACGTGCCAGTCGCACGACTACTTGTCGCTGCACAGTTCGCTTCGACGGCGTAATGGCGCGCGGGGGCGCTCGCTTCGGGGAGTTGCCAATCCGACGACGAGCGAAAGCGCGACCCACCCGCGCAGTGGCATTTTGTTGGCACATGCGGTGGCGGTGGCGGCTTAGCACCGTGAGAGTGGTCGTGCAAGGGATTGCGGGCACGAGAACTTGAGCAGATTCAGCCTGCGCAGTGTGCGGCATGCGCTGCACTTGGGCCGAGGTAGGTTGCAGCTCTGGCGCCCCGGGCCTGTTCCGCCCCCCCCCCTGGCCAGGCCACCAGCAGCACGCCCTCCCAGAACAAGATCTCGCAACAGCTTGTGGATATCGCGGAGAAGCTCACACAGGCCACCAATGGATCGATCCCGAAGTCGACCGAGTTCGCGGAGGTGCCAATTACCTCTGGCAGCCATGGCCTGCGCCAAGGAGCAGTTCAGCAGCTCCATCAAGCAGCCGCCCTGCCCTGAAGTGGGCACCGTGTCAACTCGTTTTCGCCTGCATGAGTCGGGGCGTCGCGCGCGCTGCCGTAGAGCGCTCGCCGAGACGCTGGGAGATGGCCGAGGGGAGCGCTCCCCCCTGGCCCCGGCAACGCAGTCCGCAGCTGCCGAGGAGCTCACGAAGCTCTGCCTCGAGCGCAAATTTATGGAGGGCCAGATCTGCCGAGCCGAGCCACGGCGCCGCCTCCCGCTGCCGATCCAGGCCCGCAGAAGTTCCTCTGACGACCCTGTCAAAGCAGCTGGAACCCATCATGAAGGAAATTTGTGTCCGATCCCGCTGCTGCCAAGTTACGGCCCCGCTTATGACTGAGAGTCCTCCCCCCGAAAAACGGGCCCAGCGTTTCTTAACCAACTTGCTGGAAAGATGGTTCAGTTTCTTAAGTGGATTGATAGCCTTGGGTCCTAGGAATGAATAGCGTACGTTCCTGGCTCCAGAAGCTGGCCCAGCGTTTCCTTCAGAAATTACTCAACAGCGAAGACTGATAGGTTTCTAGTGGTGTCAAAAGAGAGCAGCACATTACTCCACAGGGGGGTCTGGGCAGCCGTTGGGGAGCCGTTGGGGGGCCGTTGGGGAGCCGTTGGGGATTGCCGGGGAACTTCGTTTTTCGCAAACAGTCACACACTTCGTGCTTTTCGACCTCCCAGAACTCCATTCTTCGACTTCCCAGAATAACATTCCCGGGCCACATTCTGAATGCCCGGGGCCAACTGTAGGCCACTTCGTGGTCTTCGAGTTCCCAGAACTCCATTCCCGGGCCACATTTTGGATGCCCGGAGCCAACTGTAGGCCACTTCGTGCTCTTGGATTTCCCAGAACTCCATTCCTGGGTATGATTTTGAATGCCCGGAGCAAACTGTAGGCCACTTCGTGTTCTTCGAGTTCCCAGAATTCCATTCCCTGGCCACATTTTGAATGCTGAGGCAGGCTGATGCTGAGGCTGAGGCAGGCTGAGGCTGAGGCCGAAGCTGAAGGCAGACTCAGGCTGAGGCTGATGCAGGCTGAGGCTGAGGCTGAGGCTGAGGCTGAGGCTGAGGCAGGCTGAGGCTGAGGCTGAGGCTGAGGAGGCAGGCTGAGGCTGAGGCTGAGGCTGATGCAGGCTGAGGCTGAGGCAGGCTGAGGCTGAGGCCGAGGCTGAAGGCAGATTGAGGCTGAGGCTGAAGCAGGCTGAGGCTGAGGCTGAGGGCTGATGCTGAGGCAGGCTGAGGCTGAGGCTGATGCAGGCTGAGGCTGAGGCTGAGGCCGAGGCTGAAGGCAGCTGAGGCTGAGGCTGAAGCAGGCTGAGGCTGAGGCTGAGGCAGGCTGAGGCTGAGGCTGAGGCTGAGCAGGCTGAGGCTGAGGCAGGCTGAGGCTGAGGCTGATGCAGGCTGGCAGAGGCAGGCTGAGGCTGAGGCCGAGGCCGAAGGCAGACTGAGGCTGAGGCTGAGGCTGAGGCTGAGGCAGAGGCAGGCTGAGGCTGAGGCGAGGCTGAGGCAGGCTGATGCTGAGGCAGGCTGAGGCTGAGGCTGAGGCTGATGCAGGCTGAGGCTGAGGCAGGCTGAGGCTGAGGCCGAGGCTGAAGGCAGACTGAGGCTGAGGCTGAAGCAGGCTGAGGCTGAGGCTGAGGCAGGCTGAGGCTGAGGCTGAGGCAGGCTGATGCTGAGCCAGGCTGAGGCTGAGGCTGAGGCTGAAGCAGGCTGAGGCTGAGGCTGAGACTGAGGCCGAGGCCGAGGCTGAAGGCAGACTGAGCTGAGGCTGAAGCAGGCTGAGGCTGAGGCTGAGGCAGGCTGAGGCAGGCTGAGGCTGACAGGCTGAGGCTGAGGCTGAGGCTGATGCAGGCTGAGGCTGAGCAGGCTGAGGCTGAGGCCGAGGCTGAAGGCAGACTGAGGCTGAGGCTGAAGCAGGCTGAGGCTGAGGCTGAGGCAGGCTGAGGCTGAGGCTGAGGCAGGCTGATGCTGAGGCAGGCTGAGGCTGAGGCTGAGGCTGATGCAGGCTGAGGCTGAGGCAGGCTGAGGCTGAGGCCGAGGCTGAAGGCAGACTGAGGCTGAGGCTGAAGCAGGCTGAGGCTGAGGCTGAGGCAGGCTGAGGCTGAGGCTGAGGCAGGCTGATGCTGAGGCAGGCTGAGGCTGAGGCTGAGGCTGAGGCAGGCTGAGGCTGAGGCAGGCTCAGGCTGAGGCCGAGGCTGAAGACAGACTGAGGCTGAGGCTGAAGCAGGCTGAGGCTGAGGCTGAGGCAGGCTGAGGCTGAGGCTGAGGCAGGCTGAGCTGAGGCAGGCTGAGGCTGAGGCTGAGGCTGATGCAGGCTGAGGCTGAGGCAGGCTGAGGCTGAGGCCGAGGCTGAAGGCAGACTGAGGCTGAGGCTGAAGCAGGCTGAGGCTGAGGCTGAGGCTGAGGCTGAGGCTGAGGCTGAGGCAGGCTGATGCTGAGGCAGGCTGAGGCTGAGGCTGAGGCTGAGGCAGGCTCAGGCTGAGGCAGGCTGAGGCTGAGGCCGAGGCTGCAGGCAGACTGAGGCTGATGCAGGAGCAGGCTGAGGCTGAGGCTGAGGCAGGCTGAAGCTGAGGCTGAGGCTGATGCTGAGGCAGGCTGAGGCTGAGGCTGAGGCTAATGCAGGCCACTGCGACTGTCATCGCGAATGCGACTACGACTGCGAGAACAGCAGAACTCTACAACTGGATTCTCATCTGAATCTTAAGGGGGATGCTTCCAGATATGCTCCTACACATCGCTGTTAGGTTGCTTTGCCGGGATAATTCTTTATGCTTCGCGTGTCCCCACCAGCCCATCTCACAGCAGCAACTCTCGCGAAGCATGCCGACAGCCGTGTTTTTCAAGCGTGTGTCCGCTTGGCCCCGCATATCTCCCCTGTTCCTCCTTCCCCCCGCCTCCTTGTACATCCTCCTTGTGGGGTGGGCGGGAGAAGGACGAGGCGGAGGAGGAGGGAGAGAAAGCGCTCCTCGTGGTCTGAGTCGTTTGGGGATTCTCGTCCTGGTGTGAGTCGTTCGGGCCCTTTTTCCTGGTGTGACTCGTTCGGGCTCCTCGTGGTGTGAGTCGTTCGGGCTCTTCGTCGTGGTGTGAGTCGTTCGGGCTCCTCGTGGTGTGAGTCGTTCGGGCGCCTCGTCCTGGTGTGAGTCGTTCGGGCCCCTCCTCATGGTGTGAGTCGTTCGGGCTCTTCGTGGTGCGAGTCGTTCGGGCCCCTCGTCCTGGTGTGAGTCGTTCGGGCTCCTCGTGGGGCCTCTTGGGGGCCTCTTGGAGGCTCTCGGGGCCTCTTCGGGGCCTCTTCGGGGCCTCTTGGGGGCCTCTTGGGGGCCTCTTGGGGGCCTCTCGGGGCCTCTTGGGGGCCTCTTTGGGGCCCCTTGGAGGCCTCTTGGGAGCCTCCTGGGGGCCTCTTGGGGCCAGCTTGGGGCCTCTTGCGACCTCCTCAGAAGCGTAAATGACCGCTGCTCCCTGAGAAGGACAAA